ACGAAGGGCATACATATATGGGGCCACGAAGGGCAGCGAGGGGGCCACGAAGGGATGCAACGGGGCCACGAAGGGCAGCGAGGGGGCCACGAAGGACTGCAACGGGGCCACGAAAGGCTGCAACGGAACCACGAAGGGCAGCGAGGGGGCCACGAAGGGCTGCAACGGGGCCACGAAACAAAGCGAGGGGGCTACGAAGGGCTGCGACGGGGCCACGATGGGCAGCGAGGGGGCCACGAAGGGCTGCAACGGGGCCACGAAACAAAGCGAGGGGGCCACGAAGGACTGCAACGGGGCCACGAAGGGCAGCGAGGAGGTCACGAGGGGCTGCAACGGGACCACGAAGGGCAGCGAGGGGGCCACGAAGGGGGGCTGCAACGCGGCCACGAAACAAAGCGAGGGAGCCACGAAGGGCTGCAACGGGGCCACGAAGGGCAGCGAGATCCCGATTCCAAGGGTAATCTGTGAGGGAGTCCTAAGCGTGAGCGCGACTCCTGGGCGCCTGGGTGTCGGGAGCGCGGCGCTTGAGTAAATTGCAAGAAAGTCCAACGCAAGGGCGCTATTCTAAAGTAAATTGCAAGCAAGTCTCCAGCGAGAGCGCGACTCCAGAGCGCTGGGAGAGCGATTCCTAAGTAAATTGTAAGGAAATCCCACGCGAGAGCGCGATTCCTGAATAAAACGCGAGGAAGTCTCGGGCGGGAGCGGGAGCCCTGGCTGAATTGTGAGGAAGTCTCAGGCGGGAGCCGGTGTTGTTGTAAACCGGGGGCCAACGACACAGTTTGACCCTCAAGACTTTCCCTGATCAGAAACAGGGTGCGAGCCCCGGGAAGGGCACTTCAATCGAAAAAACAATGTGCACCGGACGGGGGGATCAACAATAATTATTCTTCAGAAATGAGGAGTTCAGCAACAACAGCAATTATGTTAAGACTGTTCGATCTTATCTGCTCGAATGCCATTCAACGCATGATTCCCAAACCCTCGATACCGGCCCTCTTCGTCTTCGATCGTACCCTTTCTGGGGGTGTATTTTTCTTCCCTGCAGGCAGGGCCCCGGCATGCGGCGGGGCGGCCGCGGACCGTCGGCCTGGCCAGCTGCAGCGCTGATCGGCGGCAACCCGACCCCAAGAGGGACGGACAGGGGACCGACCACGACGACGACGACGACGACGACGACGACGACGACGACGGCGACGGCGACGGCGACGGCGACGGCGACGGCGACGGCGACGGCGACGGCGACGACGACGAGCGAAAGCAACAGCGGGCAGGAAGAGGGCCACGAAGGGCGCGAACGAGCGGGGGCCACGAAGGGCAGATAATGCGGGGCCACAGAGGGCAACGACGGGGCCATTCAGGGTGGCAACGGGGCCACGTAGGACGACCGCAAGGGGCCACAAAGGGCGACAGCGGGGCCACGAAGGGCATGCATATGGGTTAACGACGGGCGCGACCGAGCGGGGGCCACGAAGGGCATACGCGTTTTGGGCCGCAGAGGGCAAGGACGTGGCCACTGAGGGCAGCAACGGGGCCACGAAGGGCAGCAACGGGGCCACGAAGGGCGACAGCGGGGCCACGAAGCGCACGCATATGGGGCCAAAGCGGGCGCGAACGAGCGGGGGCCACGAAGGGCGTACATCTATGGGGCCACGCGAAGGGCAGCGAGGGGGGCCACGAAGGGCCGCAACGGGGCCACGAGCGAGGGGGCCACGAAGGGCTGAAACGGGGCCACGAAGGGCAGCGAGGGGGCCACGAAGGGCTGCAACGAGACCACGAAGGGCAGCGAGGGGGCCACGTTGGCTGCAACGGGGCCATGAAGGGCAGCGAGGGGGGCCACGAAGGGTTGCAACGGGTCCACAAATGGCAGCGAGTCGGGGCAAAAAGAGTTGCAACGGGGCCACGAGGGGCAGCGAGGGGGCCACGAAGGGCTGCAACGGGTCCACGAAGGGTAGCGAGGGGGTCACGAAGGGCTGCAACGGGGCCACGAAGTGCACCGAGATCCCGATTCCTGAATAAGCTGTGAGGGAGTCCTAAGCGTGAGCGCGACTCCTGGGTGCCCGAGTGTCGGGAGCGCGGCGCTTGAGTAAATTGCGGGGAATTCCAACGCAAGAGCGCGATTCTTGAGTAAATTGCAAGGAAGTCTCCAGCGAGAGCCCGACTGCCGAGAGAGCGATTCCAGAATCAATTGTAAGGACGTCCCACGTGAGAGCGCGACTCCTGAATAAAATGCAAGGAAGTCTCAGGCGGGAGCGGGGGTCCTGGCTAAAGTGTGAAGAGGTCTCGGGCGGGAGCCGTTGTTCTTGTAATCCGGGGGCCAACCATCCAGTTCGAGCCCCGTGACTGTCCCTGATAAAAAACAGGGTGCGAGCCCCGGGAGAAGCACTTCAATTGAAAAAGCACGATGGTCACTGGAGGGGGACCAACCATACTTATTCTTCAATAATGAGGGCCCAACAACAACAGCAGCAGCAACAACAACAACACTAGCAGCAACAACAACAGCAACAGCAACAGCAACAACACTAGCAGCAACAACAACAGCAGAAACCGCAGCAGCAACAGCAACAGCAACACCAACATCACCACCAACAAAAACACCATCATCACCAGCAACAGCAACACTAATCATTTAAAACGGTTCGCTCCTATCTGCTCGCGTGCCATTCACCACGTGTGGTTTAAACCCTCGGTACCCGCCCTCTTCGTCTTCGATCGTACCCTCTGAGGGTATACCTTCCTTACCTGCCACGCGCATTGAGGGCAGCCCCTGAAACAAGGGAAGAGATGACGGATGGAAGGGGGAGGGAAACGGATGGAGCACGGGAACAATTAGCAGGAGGGTGGCGAAGAAGTCTCGAGCGCTAGCGCGATTCCCAAATAAATCGTCAGGAAATCCGAAGCGAGAGCATGATTCCTGAGTGTCGCGGGCGCGGCGTCTGAATAACTTGCGAGGAAGTCCCACGCGAAAACGCGATTCCTGCGTACATTGTGAGGAGGTCCCGCGCGAGAGCATGATTTGGGAATACAAAATGAAGAGTATCGGGCGGGGGGGCGTTGTCCCCAACCATCCTGTGGTGTTGGGTCCTTGTTTTGAAAATACAGCGCCCCGAATATCCTCCTTCTCCTCATCCTACCTCCTTTTCCTCCTCCCTCCTCCCTCCTCCTCCCCCTCCTCCCTCCTCCCTGTCCTTGCTGTGGCTATCCGCATGTCTCTGTTTCAGCACACCCCTCACACGCTTCGTGACCCCATCGGAGCTCCTCCGTCCCAGTTGCGCAGCTCGCATGGCGCCGCCGCCCCATTTTGGCACACCCCTCACACGTTTCGTGGCCCCATAAGGAGCTCCTCCTAAGGCCCCAGATGCGCAGCTCGCATGGCGCCGCCGCCCCTTTTTGGCACACCCTCACACGCTTCGTGGCAACATGGGGAGCTCCTCCTAAGGCCCCAGTTGCGCAGCTCGCATGGCGCCGCCGCCCCCTGTCGGCACACCCCTCGCACGCTTCGTGGCCCCATAGGGAGCTCCTCCTAAGGCCCCAGTTGCGCATCTCGCATGGCGCCGCCGCCCCATTTTTGGCTCACCCCTCTCTCTTTTCGTGGCCATCTGGGGAGCTCGAGCTAAGGTCCCAGTGGCGCAGCATGGCGCCGCCGCACCATTTTGGCACACCCCTCGCACGGTTCGTGGCCCCCATCAGGAGCTCCACCTAAGGTACCAGTGGCGCAGTCCGCATGGCCCTGCCGCCTTATGTTGGCACACCCCTCAGACGTTTCATGGCCTCATAGGGAGCTCCACCTAAGGTCCCTGTGGCGCAGCTCGCATGGCGCCGCCAATCCATCTTGGCACACCCTTCAGACGCTTCGTGGCCACATGGGGAGCTCCTCCTAAGGCCCCAGTTGCGCAGCTCGCATGGCGCCGCCGCCCCCTGTCGGCACACCCCTCGCACTTTTCGTGGCCCCATAGGGAGCTCCTCCTAAGGCCCCAGTTGCGCATCTCGCATGGCGCCGCCGCCCCATTTTTGGCACACCCTTCAGACGTTTCGTGGCCTCATAGGGAGGTCCACCTAAGGTCCCAGTGGCGCAGCTCGCATGGCCCTGCCGCCCTATTTTGGCACACCCCTCACACGTTTCGTGGCCACATAAGAGGCTCCACCTAAGGTCCCAGTGGCGCAGCCGGCATGGCGGCGCCGCTCCATTTTGGCACACCCCTCACACGCTTCGTGGCCACATAGGAATCTCCACCTAAGGTCCCAGTGGCGCAGCTGGCATGGCGCGCACCCCTCAGACGTTTCGTGGTCCAATAGAGAGCTCCACCTAAGGTCCCAGTGGCGCAGGTCGCATGGCACCGCCGCCCAATTTTTGGTATACACACACACACACACACACTACACACGCTTCGTGGCCCTATAGGGTATAGTGAGCTCCACCTAAGGTCCCAGTGGCGCAGTCCGCGTGGCCCTGCCGCCTTATTTCGGCACACTCCTCACACGCTTCGTGGCCCCATGGGGAGCTCCTCCTAAGGCCCCAGTGGCGCAGCTCGCATGGCGCCGCCGCCCCCTGTCGGCACACCCCTCGCACGTTTCGTGGTCCCATAGGGAGCTCCACCTGATGCCGCACAGTTCGCATGTGGGTGCCGCCCCCGTTTCGGCGCACTCCTCACACGCTTCGTGGCACAATAGGAAGCCCCACCCAAGGCCCCAGTGGCACAGTTCGCATGTGGGCGTCGCCCCCGTTTCGGCACATCCCTCACACGTTTCGCTGCCCCATAGGGAGCTCCACCTAAAGGCCCCAGTCGTGCAGTTCGCATGTGTGCGTCACCCCCTTTCGGTACACCCCTCACACGCTTCGTGGCCCCATAGGGAGCTCCACCACCGAAGGCGCCAATGGCAGTGCTCAGACGCAGAGGAAGGGACACCAAATCCTTCGATCGTCGAGAATGCGAGGCCCTTTCCGGATCGCCTCGTGCCACTCAGGCCCACTCCCCCCCTGATTCTGTAACCCTCCGCGCCGCGTCTTCGGCCCCGGCGGCTACCGCCGCGAGCGCGATGGCCGCCAGCCCAGCCGCGTGCAGGAGCGCCCGGCCCGGGTGCTCCGAGGCCCTGACGGCGGCGCGCGCGCTCGCTGGAGCCCCGCCGCAAGGTCCCAGGGAAAATCGGCGAGTGGATCCGTGGACCTTGCGAGGGCGAGTGGGCGTCAGATCCGCGGATCGGGGAAGGCACCTCCCTACACGTGAGGCCCATGCCGCCTGATTTGGCGACGGATCGCGCCGATTCTGCACGGAAACGGGGCGGCCCATCGCTAATCCGCTCGCCTGAATCCACGCTTACGCTTCCTTGAGAAAAAGGCCTCCAAACATCACCCTGGACACCACCACTGGTCTCCACGCTCAAAACGCCTTCGAGGACGGTAGGTAAATGAGGCCTCCATGCACACGAGGCCTCGGCAATGATCGTCCGCCCAAAGGGACCCTGAGATGGTTCACATAATGCCCCTGAGACATGTTTGACGTTCACTCCCTTCCAGATCAATATCATGATGAGGCGGACCCCAGTCTTCCATGATGGTGCAGTAGGGCCCTTCCGAGTCCCCAATACGCCAACACGGTCCGAAGCCCCCCCGAGGTGGGCCAAGACCACCCCAACGTGGTCCCAAGACGCTCCCAGACCCCTAAGCCTGCCAACCCTGCCCCGAAGGGCCTCGAGATGGCCTCCAGAGGCTCCTAGAACGCCCCAGGATGACCCCACAGACCCCCCCTCCTTCTCGTCCTCATCCATTGTGCTAGTGCCAGGGCACGCGTGCCAACTTGTCTCATTTCATGTCGTTAACTCCGTAGTTCGTCCTCCCCCTCTCGGCCCCACAGATGGGAAGGCTTCCAGAATCTTCCACGTCTGGCCTACAGGTTGCGAGATCTGGAGCACGCGTGCAACTTTTTCCGACGACGACGACGACGACGACGACGACGACGACGACGGACGGAGGCGACGGCGGTGACGACGGACGACGGCGACGAACGACGGCCCGACGGCGACGGCGACGGCGACGGCGACGGCGACGGCGACGACGACGACGACGACGACGACGACAACGACGACGACGGACGACGACGACGACGACCACGACGAAAACGACCACGAAGACGACGACGACGACGACGACGACGACGACGACGACGACGACCACGAGGCTGGGCGGGCCTGCTCCAGGGCTGCATCGTCCGCCGGGTGGGGCCGACCGGCGAGCCCGGGGCGAGGCTTGGGGCCCTAGCGCTCCCGCACCGCCCTCCGCTGGGAAAAGCGCTGCGAGGAGGCGCGAGGCAGGCGCCTCTCCGCCCACCGCCGCCGTCGGCGCCGTCACCGTAAGCGTCGGCACCGCCTACAGCCAGCCCGTGTCGTAAGGATGCGCGGTAGGGATGCAAAGGGCCTCGGAGGGCCACGATCACGTTTTTCGAACGGGGCTGGCCAGCGAAAGTCGCCAAGGGTGGACCGAGGAGGCAAGGATGCCAGGGTACCCTTGGGAAGGTTGCCCTTCCTGTACGTCGTCCGCGTCGTCTGTACGTCGACTGTACGTCGACTGTACGTCGTCCTCCTCGTCCTTCTCCGCCTCTTCCTCCTCCTCCCTCTCCTCCTCACCCCTTCTCCTCCTCCCTCCTCCTCCTCCTTCCTCCTCCTCTCTCCTCCTCATCCTTATCCGCCCGCCCCCGCTCTCCTCCCCACCCGGCCCCGACTGTACGTCGTCCGCGTCGTTCGTCGCCGTGGGCCATCGTCCGCCTCGCTTTCCCCCCGTGCCTCCAAGCGTCGCGGGCAGCATCACGAGGGGCGCCCCCTCTGCCCAAAGATCTCGGCCTCCAGGGGGCTGTCTCCAGGGCCCCAGGGCAACGGCGACAGGAACTTTGTCTCAGGAGTGGGGTCGAGAGCTCCGAGACCGACGCTTTGGAGAAAAAAACGAACGGCCCCCCTGCGAGGCGGGGATATATCCATGACCACCGCCAGGGAACCGACGTCTTGGCACCCCCGCGGACAGCTATGGATATGTTTGGGCCCACTTTCCCGACCATACCCATGTCCACCGCCTGCCGAGGTCCCCAAAGATCGATCCCACAGGCATTAATTATGCATAAAATCCCTGCCTCGGCCCCCTTCCCTCCTCTCCCTCCTCTCCCTCCTCTCCCTCCTCTCCCCATCGACCCAATAACAGCGAGCGACGTCGCGGTCGAGTCCTGGTACCGGTTGTTGAATTCCTTGTCGTAGTGCACTTTAGTGCCGATATTGTTGGCTGCATGTGGCTTGTCGTAGTAGTGGCACCAGTTCTTCTTCCCGCTCGTCATGCAACTTCACGGGCTGCGTCGGTGCCGTTTCGTAGGTGCCTAGTGCTCTATGATGGCTGCGTGTGTATGCCTCAGTCCCTTGTTGGTACGGTTGTGCTGTGCTGACCTGCCGCTCGTAATGCTGGTCGGCTCTGTGCAGCTGCTCTGTTGCACTTGTCATGATGAGGTGCGCTGGTTCTTCGCATTGCTGAATGTTTAGCAGTTTGCTCTCTGCTTGTTGTAGGTGCTGCGCGGTCCTGACTGCTTCGCGTGCTGCCGTGACCTCATTGTCGAATACGTAATGTGCTTGTGCCGGCTTTTCGATGCAAAATGCGTGCTGTTCTGTGTGGCTCTCCTGCTACAGTCCATACCATTTGGCTGGCGTTGCTTCCTGTGCCCGTCCTTGCTCTACGGAGATTATCTCTTGCTCAGCGATCAGCTGGTATGGTCCGGCTTGCTGTGCTTGTTCTGCTTGTTGCAAGTGGTCGTGCTGGTGGATTTTCTGCATAGTGTGCTGCGTGCGTTCGTCGGTTGCTTTTTCGGCACGCTGTATGGTGGTCGCTTGTTGGTCGCGTGCGCTTCGATGTCGTTTCTCTTCGTGGTGGTGTCCCGGTTCTCGTAGATCTTCGCGTAGTGATGCACTAGTAGCTTCAGCCTGCGTCCGTGATGCGTGGTATAAAAAGTGGGCGGTGGTGTAGTCGCTGTTTTTGGCTTGGAGGTCACGGAGCTGTGTGTGGTAGTGCAAAGCTTGCGCTGAATTCTCCTCTATTTGGTAGTGCCTGTTTTGCTTCGCAGCCTCGTCTCTGTCGCGCAGTGCTGCGTGCTCCTCTCTTAGTGCCTCTTCAGTGTGTGCATGTAGTCTTAGCTCTGTCTGTCGAAACGTTTGGTTGAGCTTCCTGGCGTCGTGGAAGTTGTTTGCGAGGTGGACATGCACTGCTTGCAGCTGGTGTTACGGTGTTTTCTGCAGTTCGTAGTCTTGATGCTGAGCTGTCTCATGCTGTCGCCGTCTTGCTACGCTGTGCGTCTCTGAGTTCTCCAATGGTCTTGTCGCTGTCCTTGTGTCGGTCGCATGCTGTCTGTAGCACTACCTTTAAACGGCGTGTGTTCCCCGATCGTCTTTCGGGTAAGGTAGGCTAGATGTGGCCGGCTTGAGTGGGTCTAGTGGGGGCCATTCCGTGGGGTATCTGCCGAGCCCTGTGCCTTGCGCTCGTGAGCCTGGGCTCCGTGTGTGCTGTCTCTTGCTGAATGGTTATGTGTTAGATTGGTGTATGTTTTGGTTTGAGAATGTTGGTGTCATGTTGTTGCTGTGCATGTTTGAGCGATGCCTCTGAAATCTGGGTGCATGCTGCATACTCGTCCTTGAGGCGGCGCATGTGCATCAGTTTGTCTGACGGTAGTGTTTGGTCTAGCAGCTGTCGCTTGATGACTGTAATATGTTGTGGCAGCTGGAATGAATCTTGACCTGCACTCTCGACTGCGACTGCCTGTGTGGCAAGTCTACGAAGCTCAGCTGCTATCGTCGTATGCAGGGCACCAACTTCGATGGGTATAGTACCTGCTTATTCCTTGTGCAGGGCGTCGTCGCAATATCCTTCGAGTATGTCATCAATGAGCGCCCGGTTCTCTCATGTTGTGTGTAACGTGGTCAAAAGTGGCTCTGAAGACGGGTCGCGCTATGTAGTCATCGCATCTTGCTGTATGTGCAGTCGGCTGTTGCGGATTTGGTCTTGGCGTGGTTGGTCGTGATGGGCGTGGTGCATGTGGATGTTGCTCCCAGGGTTGTGGTGTCCTGGCTTGCTGTGGGTAAGTGTCGCTTTAGTGCTGCTGGTTGGGTTGTCTTGAAATCGTGTGGTATGCTGGTCCTTTGTGTACTGGGTAGGTGGGACCGATGGGCTGCCACATGTTTTTGTTTTGTTTCCCTTGCCGTGCTTGTGCTGCTGTTGGTACTTCTCGTTGCCTTTGCCCTTGGCATGGGATGCTCGTGTTTAGTCAGACAATGTGCTGGTCGTCGGTGTAGGTGGTTATTGTGCACTGTGATGTTGACCGAGCAATTGTCGAGCTATGTGAAGCTGCTGCTGGGTGTGCTGGTCTAGTAAGGTTCGTGCTGAAACAAACCGATGTAGTGTACGTGCTGTAGCTAGCCATTCCCGCTCGCGTCGGTGCCAGGCAAGATTTGAGGTCGACGTTGTCGTTGTGCTATTGCTTGAAAAATGCTGCGGTGTGAGGTGGTGCTACGTGGTGGCTATTTGCCAAAATGGACGCGCGAGTGGTGCTGGTGCTGGGGTTACTGCAGGTGGTAGTTGACGAAGTCGCGGTAATGCTCCGTCTTGGCCAATATGGCCGTGCAAGTGGCGCTGGTGCTGACGTCGCCTGAAGGGGATTCGTGTAGGAGGTAGACGAAACGAAATGTAATAGGTAACGAGCTAGGAAAATATGTTGTAGGTGAGGGATGAAGAAGGCAGAGGTTCAGTCCCCGTGGGCGCACTGCCACTTACACGCCTCAATCGCTTGGCGATTGGTGGCTTCCTTCTCCTGCTCCCCATCTCCTTCTCCAGGAAGTGCAAGCGCGAATCACGCGCCCCACCCTCCCTGCACCCGACCCGGTGCAGCCCTGTTTCGGCGGCTCGCGCGCCGACGTAGGTCGCGCGCGACCCAGCGCGAGCGCGCGCGAGGCGCGAGGGCGGCGGCAGGGCCGACGCGGCCAGCACAGCCCAGGGCGAGGTCCAGCGCGAGCGCGCGCAGGGGCGGCGGGCGCCGGGGCTCCCCGCGCTCGGCGAGCTCCCCGCGGTGGTCCAGCCACGCGACGGCGACGCGGCGGCGCAGGGCGGCAAGGCACTGCCACTGCTGCTGACGCTCGCAGGCGGCCAGGGCGCGCAGCGCCAGCTGCGACAGCGACGCCGCCTGCTCCTGAGCATCGTTGAACCGATCCCCGTCCCCACTGGCACGGCCTTAGCCCCACTGGCCGATTTGCCTCGCTGGATGGGGATGTAGGCTGTTCCCTTCGGGCTTCGAGGGGCCTCTCTATCCCCACCAGGGGGGGAATGCTGGGGCTGCGACGCCATGGCCCGATGGGGATGGGGATACGTTGAACGATACGAAGCTCCGCTGGCGGTGCGGGGTCCAGGGACCTCGCCTGCAGCAGCAGCGCCAGCATCTGCCGACCAGGCGCAAACGGGAGAAGCCGTGATTCTGAACCTCCACGAGGGTGCCATCACATCGACAACCTCTCGAGACGGGCGCCGGCGCCGAAGCCGATGGGGCCCCCCCAAGGGGGGTTCAAGACCACAGCTACCCCAGTTGTGGCCAGTCTGACCTGCCGCCAGTGGCGAGCCCGCTCGCACGCACCAGCCGCCGTGGCGAGGGTGACCGCGTCGGGCAACTGGCGGTCCCGCCGCAACGTGGCCAGCAGCAGCAGCGCGGCCTCCCACTGCCGGCCCTTCTCGAAGGCGCTGATGGCGGCGTTGAACGTGATAACATCGGTCGGCAGGTGGCGCTGGCGCATCCTCGCGAACAGGCACAGCGCTTGCTCCCACTGATCGCCGTTCTCACACGCGCTGATCGTGCTTTGGAACGAGATCGCGTTCGGCCGATGCGCGCTGCGATCCATGCCAACGAGGAGCAGCACGGCGCGTTCCCACTGCTGCCCCTTCTCGCACGCGCCTATCGCGGCGCCGTACCTCGGCGAGTCTGGGAGACGGGGGAGCCAGGACGACCGACTGGACTTCACCGGGATCGGACCTCCTGGAGCCCATGAGGATCAGGCTAGGTACCACAGCTCATGCATCAAGCAACTGCGACGGGCCACGAGTGCTGGATTCTGAGACGCACCGTGCGCCACTACCTCACCACTTGTGAGGGGCAACGATGGGGCAGAAACTTACTGGCTCAGGGGGGGGATGCACCGACCTGGAATCGGCGATACATCGCCGATAGATCGACGATACGCCCCCGACAGCAAATCCGCACGGTCCTGGGCGGGGTGGGCTGTCAGGCCCCTCTCGGCGAGCAGTGGGCAGTGGGGGGTCGATGCATCCCCCCCTGAGCCTATCCCCCCCCCCCCGAACATCGGGCCCAGCAGAAAAAGGAGGAGGGGGGGAGGCGGTCACGGCTGCACGGGCTGGTAGCTGCATTTGTGGTGATTCTCCCCTCCTTCCACGTCCACGTTCGCAATGCTGTGCGCCCACGCTGGACGTATTGCTCTCGCTCCCTTTGCAACATTGCAGCCTGCTCAGCTTAGCATTTGACATCTGGAAGGGGAGGTCGTCGACGAGAAACCCTCTCGATGTGTGAAGCACCAACCCTCCGTGTTGATCTTCGCTTTAGGCCTCCAACGGTCCCCAGTGCTCTAAAAATCTCTGGCGCTCTTAAGGCCACACAAGCGCAAACCTTCGTTTGAGAAGGAAGGCAGAAGGAGGAAGCAGCCCGAGATCAGCCAGACCCACCCCGCGTCGTCACCGTCGTCCTCCTCCTCCTCCTCCTCCTCCTCCTCCTGCTCCTCTTCCTCCTCCTCATCCTCCTCATTCTCTTGCTCCTTCATCATCAGCATCGTCATCGTCATCGTCATCGTCATCATCATTATCATCGTCATCATCATCATCATCATCATCATCATCATCATCATCATCATCATCATCATCATTACCAAAACCAGCATCGCCATCATCATCACCAGCATCATTAGCAGCATCATCATTATCACCATCGTTATTATGATGATGAACAACATCATACGCACCGCCATCGTCGCCGTCATCATCGTCATCATCATCATCATCATCATCATCATCATCATTATTATCATCATCAACAACATCATCAGCATAAACACCATCAGCAGCAGCATCAGCATCAGCATCTTCATCATCAACATCTTCATCATTAACATCATCAACCTCATACTCATCATCATCATCAGCATCATCATCAGCGCCAGAGTCAGCATCATCATCCTCATCAGCAGCATCACCATCATCAGCATAAGCACCATCAGCAGCATCATCACAATCATCATCATCAGCATCATCAACAACCTCAGCATCATCATCAGCATCATCATCATTCGCATCAACATCCTCATCATCATCATCATCAGCATCATCATCATTATCATCATCATCATCATCATCATCATCATCATCATCATAAGCATCATCAGCATGATCATCACCATCACCATCAGCATACGCACCGCCATCGTCATCATCATCGCAGTCAGCATCAGCAGCAGCAGCAGCAGCATCAGCACCATCAGCATCATCAACCTCATCATCAGCAGCAGCATCATCAGCAGCAGCAGCAACATCAGCATCAGCAGCATCAACCTCATCATTATCACCAATCGCATCATCATCAGCATCAGCATAACTATCACAATCAGCAACATACGCATCATCATAATCACCATCAGTATCATCACCGCCTTCAGCATCGACAGCATCATCACCATCATCCTCAGCAACATCATCATCAGTACAGTCAGCATCATCATCACCACCGTCATCACCACCGTCATCATCATCATCATCACAAGCATCATACTCATCATCATCGTCAACAGCATCAACGCCATCATCATCAGCAGTACCATCATCAGCAGCATCAGCAGTCGCATCAGCTTCGGCAGTAGCATCAGCATCAGCATCAGCAACAGCACCAGCATCGTCTCAGCATCAGCATCGGCATCAGCATCAACATCAGCATCAGCACCAGCATCAGCATCAGCATCCGCATCAGCATCAGCATCGTCGTCATCATCATCATCATCATCATCATCATCATCATCATCATCATCATCATCATCATCATCATCATCATCATCATCATCATCATGGTCATCAGCATCACCACCATCGGCATCCTCAGCATCAGCAGCATCACCACCACCATCACCAGCACCGCCTCTCATACGTTCCTATCCGCACATTCGGACCACGGTTGTTGGAACCCCCGCATCGTTCCTACTCCCCCTCCCCCTCCTCCTCCGAAGCCTCCTCTTCCTCCTCCTCCTCCTCCTCCTCACTCCTCCTCCTCCTCCTCACTCCTCCTCCTCCTCCTCCTCCTCGTCTTCTTCTTCTGCTTCGTCTTCTTCGTCTTCTTCGTCTTCTTCGTCTCCTCCTCCTCCTCCTCCTCCTCCTCCTCCTCCTCCTCTTCCTCCTCCTCCTCATCCTCATCTGGCTTTCGCGCCACGATTGGCGACGAGCGGCGACTTCTGGAGCGGGCGTCTCCCCCCTCAGACCTGACGTCGTGGAACGAGCACGGAAGGCGCAGCGGCGGAGAGTCTGGTGAACGCGGCGCAACACGCTGGTTGTTTTTCTTCGCGCGTATAGTCGGACCTCGGACAGAAGAACACCCTTCAAGAAAACGAGACCCTCTGCTGGCCAGAACAGGAAGAACATCCTAGAGATCCCAAGGGTACCCTCCTCAGGATGCACAAGGGAATCCAACAAACACTAATAACACCAGGGCGCCCTCCCCGAACCGACCTCGATCTTATACCTCGGTCCGACTGTAATGAACCATTGGATAAGGAACCCAGGATCTGGAAGCCAGTGGAACTCCAAGCGTGGACTGGCTATGGATATCACCGCCGCCCTGGAGCCCTCCAGGGTCTGAAGCCTCTTGGTCACAATGGACGCCCCCGCCGTATTACGAGAAGGGGGGAAGAGGGAAGACCAAAGCCGCGACCCACCTCAAGCAGACGCGACCTGGAGGGCGTAAAGCTGCCCAGACTCATGGCGACAGCCGATCACCAGTCGCACACTACGAGCAATGCCAATCCTCTACTCGGATATTCGTTTGGAAGACGGTGCCTGCGATCGTTGTGATCGCTGAGAGGGAAACAAACAATGACATAAACATAAAAACTCGGAGGTCCGCGCGGATTTCTCGGATCCGCGCTGGCCCCAGCGCGGATCCGAGAAATCCGCGCGGACCTCCGAGTTTTTATGTTAATGTCATTGTTTGTTTCCCCAGTTGACCCTGCACTCCCCTTGCGAGCCTGCGCCACCAGCCTCATGAGCTCCCGAGGCTGTCGGTGCGCAAAGACGGGGGAGTGACCGAGGGGGGCGGCCTACCGAGAGCGCCAGGTGCCTCTCCAAGGGCTCGGGGGTCTATTTTGAAGGCCTCTTAGAGGGAGGACCGACCGCCCCGGCACTCCTATACCACGACATGTTCTTCGGATAAAAGAATGCACCAACAACAAATCACTGTTTTCAGAACATGAAGCCAATGTACTGAAGCAAGACAATCTCAGCCAGGAATGTTCTACGAACAGTTCGTGCAAACCACACAAAGGTTCTCCGAATATTCCTTGGTGGGCCTGTATGCAAGCCAGGGCGCTTCGCCACGGCTTACAGTGGAAGCCAGTCCGCAAGAAACCTTCCACAAGAAACCCAACCCTGAGCTCCAGGACGTCGATTGATTTTTGGTGTGGGAACGCCACGCTCTCCATACTTAGCAAAACCATCGAAACCCAAGAAACCCAGGGCACCGGGGAGGCAAGCAGGGGTGTCTCTTGGCATGGGCCCCCACTGCAGGAGAGAGGGAGGGATCCTGTGGCCCGCCCGGTAGCCGATATTGGTAGAACGGGTGCGTGTGGTATTGGACCACTTGTAAGTGGTAGAAGGGTGCCAAGGTAAGTGGTAGAACGGACCCTCGAAGTGATAGAACGGGGTATTTTTGCCCGCCCGGCCTCCTCAAATGGCCGCCCCCCTCGCCCGCCCAGAACAAGCACCCCCTCCCCCTCCCGAGATCCACCCTGGCCAAGTTTTCGAGCCGCGTCCAGCCGTGGACGCGCGAGCCTCCACAGATAGCAGACGACGACGACGACGACGACGACGACGACGACGACGACGACGACGACGACGACGACGACGACGACGACGACGACGACGGCGGCGGCGGCGGCGACGGCGGCGGCGGCGGCGGCGGCGGCGGCGAGAACGTCGACGTGCGCGCTGCCGACCGGAGCCGCGGGAGGGCGGCCGCAAGCGGCGGCGGCGGCGCGGCGCGGCGGGGGGGGGGGGGGCGGCTCGCGTCGCCGCGTCCGCCTCGACCCCGCAGAGAGCCATCTGCCCCAGGAGCCCCAGCGCCAGCCGCCAGCTGCCCACGCGCCAGCCTCGCCGCGCTCACGTGGCCGCGCACCTCCGAGGGCCTCGGAGGCCCTCCGGGCCCCTGGGAGGCCTTCTGGCGGCCCTCGGAAGGCCCTCGTTCTGGCACTCGGAGGCTCTCGGAAGCCCTCGGAAGGAAGCCTTCCAAGGCCCTCGCAGGCCCCCAGAGGCATCTACACGGTCTGGCTTGTCAGCAACGACGCTACTCAATCCCTTCGATCCTGCCATTCGACGCGCAACTTTCATTGGTCTCACGCCGGACCATCGTGATAGCGACCGCCATCCAGAGTTGCAGAAATGTGCGCACGCAGTTGGTATGACTTCTCCATATCTCACAGAACATGGCCACCATGGCTTCGGAGGCTGGGAACCCTCGGAGGCCCTCGGAGAACTGGGGCTGCCCTCGGGGGCCTTCGGAAGGCCCCAGGTGCCTTCGGAAGCCATCCGAGGCCCTCGGAGGCCCTCGCGGGACCGCGGGGGCATCCACGAGCCCTCGGAGGCCCCCGAGAACCCCCCCCGGAGGCCTTCGGAGCAGCTCGGGGCGACGCGTCTCAGAAGCCCGCGGGCGGTCTCTCCGCCGGTGCCGCGCCCCTTCCTCGGCTACACGCCAGAGTGGCCCTGCACACCCTGCGTAGAGTTCAGACACTCCTCAGCTAAGAAAGCGGACTTCATTCCGAGCGTTCTCTTAAACCGAGTAGCCGAGGCCCAGACATCTATACGAGAGCTGCACGAGAAAAGAAGCTCATTCCGAGCATTTTCTTAAACAGTAGCCCAGGTCCCGACGTACGACAATTATACGAAAAAAGAAGCTCCAAGAGAACGCTCATGGTCCAGTCAAGATTTTTGATTTTCTGGAGCGAAGACTGGAGCCTTTGAAAATTACTGTTTTTCTCAAGAATCCTGGTCGGTGTACACGCAAGAATGACCCGAGGCAAGAGTGGCCTTTAGTGCACGGCTTTCGTGGGCCGCGAGGGGGCGTCCAATTCCAAGCGCGCAGGCCAAATCTCGGGGGGCCCCCGTGGGACCGCACCAGGTCACTCTGGCGAAGAGTCACTCTTACGCGTAGCCGACTTCCCCGCACATCACAGTCGACGCCGCCTCCCGGCGCACTCTGCGCGCCGGAGGGGTGCGAGCACGTGCCCTATTAGGCTAGCTGGCTCTCGTCCTGCCTCAATTTCGTGTTGCTTCGCTCATCGTTTGCCCGGCGTCAGCTCGCTGGGAAGCGCTGAGTCATCGTGCGAGCGGCTTCTCCGCCCCCGCCGCGGGTGCTTAAGAAAGGTGTGTGTGTGTGTGTGTGTGTGTGTGTGTGTGTGTGTGTGTGTGTGTGTGTGTCTGTGTCTGTGTCTGTGTCTGTGTCTGTGTCTGTGTGCTGTGTGCGTGTGCGTGTGCGTGTGCGTGTGCGTGTGCGTGTGTGCGTGTGCGTGTGCGTGTGCGTGTGCGTGTGCGTGTGCGTGTGCGTGTGCGTGTGCGTGTGCGTGTGCGTGTGCGTGTGCGTGTGCGTGTGCGTGTGCGTGTGCGTGTGCGTGTGCGTGTGCGTGTGCGTGTGCGTGTGCGTGTGCGTGTGCGTGTGCGTGTGCGTTTGCGTGTGCGTGTGCGTGTGCGTGCGCGTGCGCGCGTGTGTGTGTGTGTGTCTGTGGTGTGTGTGTGTGTGTGCGGGTGTGTGTGTGTGTGTGTGTGTGTGTGTCCAGCAGCTGCGTGGCCCTAAGTGGTCACTGAGTGTTCGGGCGGATAGACGCGCGCGCGGCTAGCTGTTTTCAACCCTCTACGCCCTGACGCTGCGCGCAGGGCCGTCGCGACGACGCCAAACAAGTGTGCGTGTGTGTGTGTGTGTGTGTGTCCATGATGTGTGCGGGCAAGGGGCCTGGCGGCGGCGGGGACATTTTCTGCGAACGCTCGAAACGTGGTGCTTATGTGGTTTTTCTGGTTTTCTAAAAAGGGGACTGGGGGTCCAGGAGGGGGGTCGGGGGCGAAATCCTCTGCGCCTCGGCGCAGGCGCGTGCACCAGCTAGTCTTGGCCGTGTCGCTGCGCCCTACATGGGGCCGCGGTGTGAGGGTGCCTTGCAGCCAACTCTGATTCCCCTAGGTGCCGCAGCGTTGACCTCTCTTTGGAAGCAGCTTCCGCCGAGGGCGAGACGTCAACCGCTCGATTCCTCGAAGGCGAGGCCCTCGCTCGAGTACCCCTTCCAGGCCCGATGCCGCCACCAGAAGTGGAACGAAGCAGGCAGCGGCGCCCGAATCATCTGCGAGCCTAGCCGCTAGCCCGCGCAGAGCTGGGCGCAGAGGTGCGCGCTGGGCGCATCGACGCAGACGGACCACGCTGGCAGCGCCGACCTTTCGAAACGGGCCGCGCCTGCCAATACCTTCCGACGTATTGCTTTTTTTGGCGAGCCTCGGCGCACCCAGGCGACGACGCACTGGGAGTTCTGCACGTATACTGTGCCGCGAGGCACGGACTGCCCAG